CAGGGTCAGGGAGGAGCCACTGTGGGGCCAGAGAAAGGGAACGAGGTCCCTGAGTTCCAAACACAGCAGACGGGGCAATGGCTTCTGCCTTTCCCGGTGTTCAGGGAACCGTGACTGAGAGCCTTGGCTCTGGCTTATGAAGAACTGGGAATTGGCCTGTGGGTGCTAAGAGGCCATACTTATCTCGATTTCCCCCCAAGATAATCCACATTCCAGTCTGTCCGGTTCTGCTCAGTAACGCGCACCTCCTCAGAATGTCCCAGAAACACCGACTTTCCAAACTTTCCCTTCGAGCTGAGCTGGCACGACAGTCTTCCATTTGAGCAATTCTTATTTTAGTTTGCTGTGTCACTGTGGTTTGTTGTGGAGTCAGTGGATGGCACGCTGGCTAAGCACTTGACTTACTACCTGAAAGTTGCTAGTTCAAACCTGCCTAGGGGTGAGGTGGAAGTAAGGCCTGGCGAACTGCTTCGGGAGAGACACAGCGGTGAAGACCCTATGGAGCTGTTCTACGCTGCCCCCAGGGAGGGGGCCTTTGGGTGGGATCCACACAGTAGCAGCAAGCAGCACAGCGTGCTAGGTCTCATGTGCTGTTGTTGTTAAGGTTGAAACCCCTGTCCCAATGTTTCTCTAGATGATTCTTCCAAAACACATCTCCCCTAAACGACTCGCAACTGTCCAACCCTTTACCTCTGCTCACCACCCATCCTGAACCACACTGCCCTCACACACGGCCACGCACAGGCCCTTGGGAAAACGGCAGAGCACATGGGGTGGGCCTGGAGGAGGGGGTCGCTTCCGGGGATTTTCCAGAGAGTTTTCACCTCTGCCCTTTGACAGAACTGCAGGCCAGCCCAGCCAGTCATTCTGCCTGCGGAAGCACTGAGGTGGAGCTTCGTGTGCAGAGATTAGTGCCCTGGAGTTCTACGCAGGGCAGTTCACACTTGAATGGAAGGCCGGGTTATTTTGGGTGGAGTCCCTTGGGTAGGACTATTAGCCAAGAGGTTGGGGACTCGAACGCACACGGAGGCACTTTGGAGGGCTGGCTATCCGCTTCCCAAAGGAGCACGTTTCTACGGTGATGTGCACGGGTCAGCAGCGGTGAACCGGCTCAATGGCGACTAACAACAGAACAGAAGATTGGGCTGGCGAGGGGAGTAGGATTGGTAGTCCAGCAAACCAGGAAACCGCAGTTTGAATCCCAGCCCCACCCGCTATTCCACCTTGTGTGGCCTGGAGTAAACTGCCTATCTGCAAAATCCAGGTGGCCTCTCCAGGTTGTTGTGGGCAGTAAGTGAAAGGATGGAGAAATGGACTCGCCTGTACCATATCCGAGACTCGGTGACAGGCTGTCCATCCAGCCCGGGTCAACGCAGGCCAGTGCTCTCGGGTGACAGCTCTCCGGGTCACGGCAGCGTGGGTTTTTTGGTGCTTGTGCCATCTCAAAGACATGGGTCAGTAGTGGCCGGAGGAAAGCTGCCGTGCTCCGCACTGATTCTCAACCTCACACACACACACACACACACACACACACAAAACCTTTGAAATTTTCTTGGCTGATCGTATCAGACCTTTATGAGACATTTTAGCTGACGCAGCCTTGGCCCAGGCCCTTACCCGTCGTCATGGGTTTACACAGCAGCTCCCCTGTGCTCTGTCACGCACAGCACTGGTTGGCGTTTGACATTTGTTTCTGTTGCATGTCATCAGCTCAGCCACTTGCTGGCAGGCCTGTAAGCCAAACGAAGGACAAGTCCATGGGCGGCGAGTCCATTCCAGCTCCTGGAGGCGGTGTGACGGAATAGAGTTGCTGGGGGGGCTGGTGGGGGCGTCCATGGCTGTAGTCTTCACAGAAGCAGTTTGTCAGGCCTTTCTCCCACAGAACCACTGCCGCCTCACTCCCTCACTGCTGATTCTGGCTCACAGGGACCCCGTAGGACAGGGTAGCACTGTCCCTGTGGGCTTCCAAGATGATACCTCTATATGGGAGTAGAACGTTCATCTTTTCCTCGTGTAGTGGCTGCTGGTTTCAAACTGCTACCCTGCGATTGATTAGTGTCCCGCCTTGTTACACAATACAGCACCGGGTTACCGCCATCGCTCACCCCCTCACTGCCATCGAGTCATTTCTCATTCACAGGGACCGCTGTTGAAGATAGCGGTTCTCAACCAGTAGGTCGCGACCCCTTCGGGGGATCAAACGACCCTTTCACCAGGGTCACCCAATTCATAACAGTAGCAAAATGTCAGTGATGAAGTAGCAATAAAAATAATCTTATGGTTGGGGGGGTCACCACCACATGAAAGGGTCGCGGCATGAGGAAGGTTGAGAACCACTGCTATCGGATGAGGTAAAACTGGCCCTTTGGGGTTTTGAGACTAAGTGTTTATGAGAGTAGACAGTATCACCAGCCACACCCAGCTTCCTGCTATCAAGTCAGTTCCAACTCACAGCGACCATTCCGAAGCATTTTTCCAAATTCACTGCCCTCCTGTTGAGGCCGGCCCATAGTGAGTGACCCTATAGGGCAGGGTAGAACTGCCTCTTTGAGTTTCTGAAACTCTTTACAGGAGTAGAAAGCCCGTCTTTCTCCCATGGAGTGGCTGGTAGTTTTTGAACCAGTGACCTTGCAGTTAGCAGCCCAACGTGTAACCACTACTCCACCAGGGCTCCTCCCACAGTGGACCATATTCTAGGTTTAGATCTCCATCATGTTGCATATACCTGGGGTTTGACTATATGGCACTGCAAACACAGACACTCAATTGTGAATTCAGACAGCTGGAATTCGGACAGCTATTTCTAGAAACACCAAAGACTTGAGTATCAACGGACTGGCACTCTGGGAATATCTAAGGAGCCCTGATGGCAAAATAGTTAAGCACTCAATTGTTAACCAAAAGGTCAGCAACTTGAACCCACTAGCTGGTCTCGGGAAGAAAAGATCTGGCTTTCTGCTCTCGTAAGGAAGATAGCCTTTGAAACCCTCTAGGGCAAGCTGTGTGTGTGTGTGTGTGTGTGTGTGAGGTGGGTGAGAGTTTACATAAAGGGATGACCGATAATGCATTCATCAATTTTGTAAACATTTTGTTTCAACTCATCCCCTCAATGTACCATCTCCCATCCTGCTTCCTCATTATTTCCTGTTTCCATTTCCTCTCCTTTCTAAGCCCTCTGAACCTGGGGTAAATACTGTCCTTTTGATGGTGGATTCTTCTCACGTGGGGGTGAGTTCAGTTCCAGATCTCAGGGTGACTAAGGGCCATAGTCTTGGGGCTCCCACCAGTGTCCATCTGACCAGTAAGCCAGGTCTTTTTTTTTTTTTAATGATTTTGAATTCTGTTCTATATTTTCTCCCGCTCTATCCAGGACTTGATAATGTGATCCTTTTCCGAGGCGTTGGTAGTGGAGATTGGGCACATTCTAGTTCTTCTGGGTTGTGAAGACTGGTATTTGCATGGTCCGTTAGTCTTTTGGACTAAATTGTTTCCACGTGCCTTTAAATTTTCATTACTCTTCTTTGTATGAGACCGATCTTTGCACCATAGATGTCTGCTCATGAACCTTTAAGATGCCAGTCAACATTCACCGAAGTAGAATGGAGAGCATTGTCTTTGTGAACTCTGTTATGCCCATGGGCCTTGGTGTCTCCCAGAACTATGGTCCTGAGCGTCCCCTCCAGGCGTTTGGTTATGTCTAAGAAGTTTCCATACCCCTAGGGGGTGGTTCTACTCGGTCGCACGGGCACGTGTTCGTTGGACTGGACTTAACAGCACCCAACACTAGCAGGAGATTGCTGTGGTTATTCGTTGCAGTGAGTCTGATCCTAACCATACTGACCTTGTGCTTGGCCGTGCACCGTCCTCACAATTGCTCTTGTGCTTCAGCCCATCGTTCGTAACTACCGTGATTTCATAGGCAGTCCCTTATTATCTGAAAAGGCTTCAGAGCACTGTCAGATAACAAAAGGCGGTTACGTCACCCATTTTTAATCAAAGGCATCAGCAATATTTGGATTCAAGTCTCATGTTTGGGTAGCATGAAGCATTTCCCATGTGTGCCTCATAAGGAACTCATCACCACACATTGTATCTGTGTCCCCGCTTCCTGGGAAAACTGAGACCTGGGTAAGGTGAGATGACACAACTGGGCTTAAAGCCAGGCATTCTGTAGCTGCCAGATTTAAATTAAAAATACAAAGTGAAACGAAACAGGACACCCAGTTAAATTTGAATTCGAGATTCTTTTGTGTGTGTGTGTGTGTGTGTGTGTGTGCTGCAAGCAATACTTGGGAATACGACACCAAGCGATTCTTTGTGGTTCATCTGAGATTCAGATGTAACTCGGTGCTCTCTATTTTATGAAAATCCTTCTGACTCCCAAGTGTTGATACCTGGTCCCTTGTTGTCTGTGGTGGGTGGTTGTAGTTCAAATACAAAGTACTCTCCCCAGTGTGGATTCACTCTGGCAGTTTGGGGCTTAGGAACCTTTAACAAAGATGCATATTAATTTCTGTTTCCCTTTACTCTTAATCCTTACCAGAAAAACTCGCCCAGGCCAAAGAAGAGAACGTGGGCTTACATCAGACACTGGATCAGACGCTAAACGAACTTAACTGTATATAACCATGACAGCAGAGTCTCCTTCCAGCAGAAACCCCAGGGCCCCGCGTCTTTCTCTTCTCTTGTAAGAAGTTCCTTTTGTTACTGCATCTTCTCTTTGCTGGAAATGTCAAGCAAATTATGAATCCATGACCAATTATTTTGTATCAGAGAAGCTTTGAGCACCAGTTAAATGATTCCTTTTTTTTTTTCCCAAATGGCACCAGCTTTTTCGGCTCTTTTTTTTTTTTTTTTTTCCTTATCCTTATGTTGCATTTACTCCTAAGATAGGCAGGGTTATTTCCTATTGAGTAGACTTTCTTCAGATTGAGGGCATTTGGTTCCTGGGAGAATAAGATGACCACACCCACCCACCCACCCACACATACTTTCAAGAACACAGTCGATTGGCTCTTCATGAATCACCTGAAAAGGCTGGAGAACAAAGCCTTCTGGGCCACCGTTTTTTCAGCAGGTAGGAGGCCAGGGACCATCGCATTGCTATGGTGGGGATTTTCCATCCAGGAGTGGGGGAAATGGCTATAGTCATAAACCACAGGTCGATTAGCCTAATCCCTGTGACCCTTTTCCACACTCCACTGGGCAGAGCAAGCATGCTCTGAGCAGCAGCATGAGAGTGCTTGGGAAGTAGTCTTGCGAGCCGCCCAAGTGTTTTCTGAACAATCCTCGATGTTATGCGCTTCTGCATGTTTCTTTCATTCCCAAGTTGGCCTTTGAGATGTCTTTTTCCAATAATGACCCATGCTTCTCTGCTCTGGTGTGAGGCCATCGTTCTCAGCAGGAATGAATAGGGTGGAGTTCAGTCCTCCCCAGGCCCGCCATCTCAAAAAGCCTGCTAGCCACCAATAAACTGGACCAAAGTGATTTTCGCTTAACAAACACTGGGCATAAGGGGCCTCTCAAAGTAGAGGTGAAAGAGTAGCTGCCCAGCTGGATCTCCTCCATACTTCAGGGCATGGCAGGTGGAAGAGTGCTGGTGTAAGACTTCAACTCCTTCTTCAGGACCAAGTTAATAAGAGACCAAGACACTCCTGATGAAACTGGATATGGAGTTGTAGACAGGGCTGCACATGTTGGCTTGGTTGTATTTCTGCTTTCTCCATTAGCATCTCAGAGCTGAAACATTCCACACTCCCCAGCAGAGCGGGGGGGACCCAAGTCAAGTTTACAATCCCGGCCAAAATCACCTTGCTTTGAGTTTATCCACCTCCCCTGCCCCTCACTCCTATTTATTAAGCATCACACTACCCAGGAGATACACTAGCCATTGTGTAATTGACTTAAGACCCATACTTTTCATTTACGATTCTTGCAACTGTATCATATGTAATAGTATCTCTTTTTCTACATTTTGGTCAAATAAATTTTTACATAAACTATACATGTGTCCATTGTAAGATGTGTGGGGACAAACCAACGCCAGCGTTTGCAAGTTGGTGGCATGGAAAGAGAACGGTGCAGCAACTTGGCAAATGTTTGCTTTATGCCATGGCGTCATGATGCAACAATCATGTTCTTCATCCTGTGGATGACAGCACTTGGCCTTGCTCACACACAGCTCCCATGCTTCCTTCTCCCCCATCCTGCCTGAGGCAGGCGGTCAAGAATGAGTTGAACTTCAATCGCTGGAGATAGGATCAGGGAAGACCTGCTCAGGAATTCATGAGACCCTTTTGGGGGAAGTTTTCTCTGTGGGGCAGAAGTAGGAAAGCTGGGAGACAGCGGTCGAGACTAATGAGAGAGATGAAGCAATAAGGAAAATCCACTCTGCCTTCATTTTACAGGAAGGTCTAGAGGAGGGGAAAGAGCCTTGGTGGCATAGTGGGCTGTTTGTTGGGCTGCTAACCACAAGCTCAGCAGTTCAAAATCACCAGCCACTCTAGAGGAAGATGAGACTTTCTACTTCTGTAAAGATTGTCTCAGGAACCCACAGGGGCAGTTCTACTCTGTCCCGTAGTAGGGTCACTATGAGTCAGAATTGGCTGGATGGCAGCCAGTTTGGTTTGGGTGAGGAGAAGGGGAAACGAGCCTGAATGTGAACAGCTGGGTTGCTAATCAAACAGTTGATGCTTCAAACCCAACCAAGTACTCGTCAGGCAGACCTGGTGATCTGCTTCTGTAAAGATTACAAGCAAAAAAGAGCCTACGGGACAGGGTCTACTCTTGCCACCTGGGTTGCCATAAATGGGAATCAACTTCACAACCCTTGACAATAGCAACGAGAGGGGGTGAGGGGGAGAAGGAGACCGGGGACGGGAAAGCTGGCTAGGAAAGTAGTTCAACCATCCAGGGCCATGGCCATGAGACAGAAGAGACCATCTGGAGGAACCATCCTCAAGAGGGATGAGACCACTGCCCGAGTTGCAATTGTGTTTGGGGGAAGGAGGCCTGGTGATGAGGTGCTTCGAGTGAAAGGGCCCAGCTGCTAACTGGAAGTCATCTAGGAACATCCGTTGCACCCTTGGCCTCTGGGAAAAGGGACTCCAGAATGGGTGCACACCTTCAAAGAGGATAATCAACGTCACAGAATTATACAAGTAGACATTCCTGAGACAGTGCATCTTGCATTTCACCTATGCCCATCACAATAAAACGATTTGTTAAAGGGGAAAGGCCTCTCAGGCTTGCAGATGTGCAATACAAAAACCCCCTTTGGAGCTTGGGAAAGTCACTAACTGCTAGCCTGACCGGACTCACTACTATACTGCCACTCAGTCAATCAATACTGACTCATGGTGACCCTACAGGCAGGGGAGAATAGCTCCGGTACGATTCCAAGACTGGAATCGACTACAGGAGTGGAAAGCCTCATCTTTCGCCCACGGAGTGGCTGATGGTTTCGAACTGCTCACCTATGTGCAGTTAGCAGCCAAACGCTTAACCACTGCCTCATTTCCCTCCCTGCGTTGGTGTGGTTAATACATACTGTATACTGAGAACATGGCTAAGCAAGGAAGCCATGCCCACGTGTTAGTTATAATTACGGTCGGTCGTCCTTGCACTCAGTACCCTGGGGCTCTCCTTGCCCCAACCCCGCCCAGAGGTGGCCACTAGAAAATAGTGCCTCTGGCTATAGGTTGTTTTTGTTTGCTTTTCAGATCACTTTACTGGGGGCTCTTAAAGCTCTTACAACAATCCATGCATCAATTTTATCAAGCTTATTTGTACATATGTTGCCATCATTGTTTTCTAAACATTTACTTTCTATTTGAGCCCTTGGTATCAGCTCCTCTTTTGTCCTGCCTTCTCCCACCCTCGTGAACCCTTGATAAATTATAAATCATTATTATTTTCATATCTTACACTGACCGCTGTCTCCCTTCACCCATGTTTCTGTTGAGCATCCCCCTCGGTTTTTAACGAGTGGAATGGAATGATCTCCCGACAGCTGATGGAAAACTAGAAACCGGGCACTAGAGGTGCCCAGCCCGCATCAAGTGGCGCGCTGGCGTGTGTCACACGCCGTCATGTCCAGGCTGAGTCGGGAGAGGTCAGTTAGGTCCGGGGCTGGTCCAGAGGAGCTTCAGGGCACAGTTTGTGATGATGAGGGTCCCGGTGATGGTTGTCCGGATTGTCTCAAGCAGCCTCCCGGTCCATCACAGAGATTTCCAGAGCTCTTTCCGATTGCGACTGCCTCTTCTCAGCATCCCCTGGACAATGTCACACACACCCCACCCCGACCCGTGATCGTTTTTTCCCGCGCTCTCCCCAACGCCTACTGAGGCTGCGCAAGCCGTCAGGGCGGGCCCCAGGGCTGCAGCCGCATACGCCCTCTGCTGGCAGCTAACGGTCTCCCTGTGCGCATGCGTATACGCAAACGCCACAGGCCCCGCCCCCGGGCTGTCGGCGCGCGAGGCCGTTGGCGACACTTCCCGCCCTCCCCGTCCCATAAAGGGCTGAGGCAGGGCCGCCCTGGAGTTTGGAAGGAGCGAGACCACGGACGCCACGCCCCCGTCCTCATTTGAAGCCCCTCGACTCTGCGCCGTCAGCCAATCGCAGCTCTCCCGGTCGGGAGCACTGGCCAATGGGCGGCACGCTCGTGCCGCTTCCGCCTCCGTGCCCGCTAGCCCCTTCCCTGGTCTCCGCGCTCTGGGCGGGGCGCGGGGGCGGGCGTCGGCCGCGATGACGCGCGGCGGGCCGGCAGCCAATGGGGGGTGGGCTCGGTGCTGATGGACGGGACGGGCGTCCAGTGGCGAGGCGGTGGCTGCACTTCCCGTCGGGGAGAGAGTGTAATATGGCGAAGACCTACGATTACCTGTTCAAGCTGCTGCTGATCGGGGACTCGGGGGTGGGGAAGACCTGTGTCCTGTTCCGCTTCTCTGAGGACGCCTTCAACTCCACCTTCATCTCCACCATAGGTAGCGTGGCCGGGGGCGGGGGGGCGGCCGGGGACGCGGGAGGCCCGAGCCGGGTGCTCCCCTGAAGGGCCGAGGCTGAGGGAGCGGCCGGGACAGACGAGCTGAGGGGGTCTCGGTGGGTCGAGGGGACACTAGTGGTGACAAATAGCCGCCTCCACCGCCGTGCGGGGAATCCCGGATCCTAAGAGCAGTCGAGGGGGAGACCAGGTGCCCATTTTGCAGATGAGGAAACTGAGGCCCGACCCTTCGCCCATTCGTCTGGGCGTGTTCACGCCTGGCTGGAGTCACGCCCGTCATCGAGTTCTGCCACTGCAGCAGCGCTCCAGGTGGTTCTTGGGTCCCCGCCTGACAGAAGTGGAACTAGGTACAGATCGTGAGCCTAGGGGAAAGGGCTGGGTCAGCTGACTCACTGAGCATTTGCTCTCAGGTGTACTTTGAGCGTTTCCCCCTCCCAGCTGTCCGCCCGGATTAGGTTCTGTTGAGATCCCCGTTTCCCAGGTGAGGAATTGGAGGCTCCAGGGCGGGAGAGCCTCCCCAAGGTCACACGATGGGTGTGCAGGTGGCCAGGATGGGATTTAAACTCAAAAGCCTTTCGGACTCCAGGTCTAGAGTCTCAGCCATCCCAGAGGCTGAGCCTGCAGGGCAGGCAGAATGGCCCAGGCCACGCCTCTAGCTCTTAACCTTGGAGAGCTCCAGGGTGGCCCTGCTCCTCGGGGTGACCCTTCCTGTTGAAGGACTGGTGATGGGGAACCAGAGGTCTTTCCTGCTTTCCATCCCCCTCATGGGTGACAGCAGTGGTCAGTGGCAGCTGCCCGCCCTGAGGCCTGTCACCCAGAGGAAATGCCAGATGAAAGCCGCCACCAGACACAGAGATCAGCCCCTGCTGCACACTTCCCTATTGAGAGGCCCAGACCACAGTTTGTCACTTTGTGCAGAACAGCATTTCCTGCAGAGCCAGCCCTAATAGTGGTCGCGCAGAACCGGCCTGTGGCATCTCGGTTCTGACAGCCACCAAAGTGGAGTGGACCTCGCCACAGAAATCATCGCTGCCCACATTCAAAGGTCCTGCGTGGATCAGATGGCATGGCTCTGCCTAGGAGCGGGGGGAGCGGAAAGAGTTGTCAAACCCAGATGGTTGTTAGCTTCCCCCAGGAAGGCCTCCAACTCTGGAACCCTTTGCACCTCGGACGGAGACACTGCCATTCTCGTGGTCAGTTGTGCTTTGGACCCTGGTGGGATTCAGGGGGCTTTCATCGGCTGGTTTCTCAGAAGCAGTTCACCCGGCCTTTCTTCCTCCTCTGTCTTAGTTTAGAAGCTCTGCTGAAATATGCTCAGGGTCCTAGCCACACGCAAGCCTGCACTGACATGTGGGTGGTGGCTGGGCATGAGGTGCATTGGTCAGATTCAAACCCACGTCTCCCGTATGTAAGGTGAGAACTCTGCCACCGAACCGCCACTCTCCCCGCCAAACGCAGGAGCTCATTCTAAATGGAGAAAGCCTAGGGAACAAGTTCTGCACACCTACCTCTCCCCCCACCCCCTGCCCAGGGCTTGTACTTCTATAAAACCCTCAGGCACCAGGTGTAAGATAGAATTGGACTCGGAGCCACCAGACTTGGTTTCCCATTGCTGTTTGCCCTTGAACAAGCCACATGACCTCTCTGAGCCATTTCTTGGTGTGTGGAGCAGTGCCCACCTCAGCCAGTGCCCTGGTGGCCAAGGATCAGAATTCTATGGTGACTGTAGAGTCACTGTGACTTAGAACAAGTCAAAGGCCGTGAGTTGTTTTTGAGAAGGGGTGACTGTGGCTCCCAAAGGCCACCTAGAGGAAGCAGAATGGCTCCTGCAGAGATGGTGCTCTACCCTTGGGGACAGGTGTGTCTGAGTTCTCCCTCACCCCAAGGTCAAACCTGGGGCTCCCCAGAGGCAGCTCCCCACCTTTAACCCAGAAGTGACTTTAACTGCTGGCAGCACTGTGGTTTGAGCTCAGTCCAGACCTCAGTTTTGCAGCCGCCTCAGAACCTCCCCACTACCCATGAGCAGGGGTGAGCTCTACTTCAGAGGGAGAGAAGGAGAGGAGAGAGGTGGGAGGGGGCAGAGCATTGGACCCAGGAGCCCTCCCTCCTGTCATGTTCCCCTCATGTTTGCTGGTGTTAGCGGGCGTCAGTGTGACCCTGTCTATGTGTAGGGAGAAAACTGCTCCATTGGCTTTCCAAATCTTTTCTGTGGTATATTGCCAGGCCTTTCTTCCGAGGTGCCCCTGGATGGGCTCAGCCTACCACCCTTTCAGCTAGTAGTTGAGCACTTCGCCACTCTGGCCACTGAGGTCGCCTTCTAGGAAAGTGTAATTCAGCATGGCCTTGAAGTTATGGCCTCATAATCCTAACGGATACGGCCTCATAAAGTTTACACTGCCTCACTAAACAGGATGTGTTCATAAAACCCAGGAGAAGAGTGCTGGCTCAGGGCTCTCTCTACCGAGCAAGGCTCCTTTCTTTCCTACACACCCGTCTGTCTGCCCCGGAGGTGGAATCAGCTCTGGGCCTGAAGCCCAGCTGACTGCCGAGGGATCGGTGTTGGCAGCAGCTGCTCCTCTGGGTTCTCTTTATGGACCGGAGATTGAATGCCTGTTCATTTTCTGCCCGGGTGACATTGTGCCAAGCCATACAATCACTTTCCATACGCTCCAGCCATCGATTGGTGAACCATGGTGTGGACTTGGCCCTGTGGCTCCTGGAGTGGATTCTCAGCTGGCTAGCTTGGCCTCCACCCCCTCCTTGGGAGCCAGTCCCTCTTCCAGGGCGGTGGAGGGTATGTGCAGAAGAGTTTCTTGCACCTACCGAAGGGCACCGCTGTTCTTGTCCCTGGTGCTTGTCCCTCTTTGATTCTGCCCCTTTCACAGAGGCCTTTGAGGACCTGGCATCTGCCCCAGTGCTATGGGGAAGAAGTGATGGGTGTAGAGGGCAGGGTCGGGGTGGGTGTAAAGAACTGAGCAGGTGGCTTCTAGCCCCCAACCCCCAAAATACCAAACCAAGTCATTCCTGACTTGTGGCGACCTCCTGTGTGACAGAGTAGAACTACTCCACAGGATTGGCTGTCATCTTCCCAGAAGCAGATCTGCTCGCCAGGCCTTTCTTGCACCGCACCATTGGGTAGGTTCCAGCCACTGATATTCAGGCTAGCCACTGAGCACAAGCTTTCTGCACCACCCAGGGGCCGCTGCCTCCTGCCCCTGCCACCTTCTGCCACTAGGTTTAGTGAGTGGAACCCAGAGCTGCCTTTCCACCCAGACTTTCCAAGGGTCCGTGCCAAGAGGGAGGACAGACAGGCCTGAAGCCCTGATACAAATGGCAATGGGGGTGGGGGTGGGAGTTGGCTTCCTTATTGGAAAGTGGGGGTCAGAAGGTAGGAGTTTGTAGTCTTGATCATAGGGATTGTCAAACGGTTTGCCAGACACAAGAGGTCACACAGTGTCTGAGCCCAACGACACAGCACTTTCAGAACAGGCAATGCCAAAAGCGGGAAAGAGGCTTCTGGTCCACTAGGTTCGAGAGGCAGGTGAGGAGTGAGCGCTGACAGGCACCGGTCTTCTGAGTGCTGAGAACATTCTGGAACTAGATAGAGGTGGTACCTTCACATATGGTGAGTGGACAAAAACCACTGAAGTGTGCTCTTTTAAGTGGTGTCTTGTGTGGTATGCGAGTATATCTCAGTAAAATGGTTCCAGAAAATATCAACAAACCCCCAAATGGGGGCTTCCCTCCACCCTAGAGCAAAATGCAAACTGTTGCCCTGAGCCAGTGACCTTTGCTCCCAGAAATGCCTGCTCCTCAACTCTCCTGGACACCCTAAAGCTTCTTCCGCCTGACTGGCTCCTCCTTTTCCCAGAATGTTCTTTCCTTCCACAGCCACCTGGCTCCCTCCCCTCAGTTTCCTTTGGGCCACCTCATTGGGGAGGCCTGCCCTGAGTAGCTTCATGCTCGACCCAACCAAACTTTTAAGGTCCCTGGGTGGTGCTAACCCCAAGGCTGGCAGCTAGAACTAGAGGCAGCGTGGAAGAAAGGCCCGGCAACCTGCTTCTGAAAGGTCACAGAGCAGTTCTACTCCATCACATGGGGTCGCCAAGTGTCGGTAACTGGTAACCTTGCTTGTTCCCCTCAGGGTACTTGTAACCTCCTGACAGTTTATGTCTTTTTGCTGGCTCTATGGACCTAATAGTGGGGCTTGCCAATCATATGGTGTGTGATGGGGAAAAGGTCCAGTCTAGCCACTGACCCCTGAGCTTGTTCTGAAGGTCTCTGTGGGGAGCAAGCCAAGGGGGCATGGAAGCATCAGGAGGCTGTGCTGGCGGGAGGGAGCTGGGCCTAGTGCCGGGGCAGAGCCGAGGTCTGAGCAGGGTCTTGGGGAAGTCTGTGCTTTGGCAGGAGTGGGGGGTGGCATAGGTAGAGAAGGAGCACTGTGTGCAGAGATGGAGGCCAGAGAGGTGTTCTGGAGCTGGAGAGGAGTGCTGTGCCCTGTCCGCTCGGCAGCACCCCCTCTGACCCAGCTTGGAGAAGCTGGCACTGATGTGCCCTTTTTTCTTTTTTTTTTCTCCTTCTAGGAATTGACTTTAAAATTAGAACCATAGAGCTCGATGGCAAGAGAATCAAACTGCAGATCTGGTAAGATCCGGGGTTCTCTGGCAGCCCCCTCCGGGCCCTGGGACCATGGCCTTGATCTTCAGAAGCCCCTCAACTCCCACACCCTGCCCCAGGAGCAGTGATCTGTCTGCCTCTGCGGTCTGGATTCGGGGTCAGGGCCTTTTGCACACGACTGTCCCATCCCCATTGGCTCAGGGTCCATGCTGATGAGCCAGGACTGCAGGGGCCACTCTGCTCCCGTTGAACCCAGGCTGTGGGCCCCCACCCCCACCCCGTACAGGCAGAGAAGCCAACAGAAAGTCCCACCAGTGAATGAGCGAATGGAGAGGGACTTTCTTCCTCTGAGTTTTGGCAGCTGGGGGTGCAGGGCCCAGCTTTGTCTCCCTCCCTCCGCCTCGAGTTGCTGCTGGGCGGGCTTTGCCATCCTCTGATGCAGAGAGGGTGGCTCGCACCGTGTCTGCCTCCCCTTGTGAGTCTGTGTATGCGACACCACCCAGAAGGGGTGAGGCTTGATCTGACCTCCTTCACAAAACAAATGGAAAGCCTGTGCTTCCAAATGCTACTTCCCTGCGGGGGGCCTCCTGCTCGTGGCCACTCGGGGGGTGTCTAAGGACAGCCGGGCTCCCCAGGGTTTTCACTGGCTGGTCTTTCGGGAGTCGATCTTCAGGCCTTTCTCCCAAGGCACCTGTAGATGGGCTTGACTCATTCACGTTTGGGTCCACCGCTGAGCACTTGACCATCTGCATCACGGAGGGGCTCCCAAGCAGGCTCATAGTCACAGGTGCAGAGGGGTAGGAGTTGAGTCCATTTTTCAGCTCATCACAGGCAGTAGGCCCTGACCGATTAGCTCCCTCCCATCCCTGGCTCCCACTGAGGGAAGATTGGTATAGCATCTCTTTTCTCTCCTGGGGAAGCCCAGCTCAAACTTCCTAGCAGGCTGACCCGAGACCCCAAACTGAAAGTCAGTTAAGTCCAGGCCTGGTGCGGAGACCCGGTTCCATGCCTGGTTCCATGCCTCAGACACGGGGCCTTCACAGCAGGGGAGCTGGCTAAGTCTGAGTCTGCCTCCCGGACTCCAAATGATCAGAGGTAGGGGAGCCAGGCCTTGCACCCACACACCCTGTGCGGCGCCCCACTGGGAGCAGCATAACAAGAAGTGATGGCACAGTCCCAGCAGGTGCCAGAATTGAGAGTGGAGTACCCACCGCTTTCAGATCGCTGTCCTCGACTCCTGGTACCATTCTGCAAAGCTGACCTCAGATCCCAGATCTGGACGAGGGCTGATGCCCTGCCTGCCCCCTGGCCTAGGCAGCATGTCATTTTCCCACCAATGTGGACATCTCGCAGCTCTGGACAGTCCTCTGCCTCCCAACACCTGGTTTCCAGCCACCTTTGTGTCCAAGCCCAAAGGGACACTGTCCCAGTCGGGAGCTCCCTTGTTCCTGCTTCTTTCTTATCTTACTCCTTTCTAGGAAGGCCCCATGCGGGGGCCACAGCAGACAAGTGTGCTCTCTCGGCACCCAGGGAGGCTGGGCTGGAGGTCTGCGTCCCGGGCCCTGGCTCTGGTCTTTCAGCTTCCACCCCTGGGCGGCCTTCATGCAGCCTGTCATCTCTCTCCCTCCATCTCTGCTGCTGTGGCTGGCCGGCTTCACCTTTTTATGTCTCCAAAGGAGCCCTGGTGGCGTAGTGGTGACTTGGCCTGCTAACTAACCACAGGGTCAGCTCCTTAAGGGCCAGTGAGCGGGACCAGGGCTTCTGAAGCCACCTGTTAGTGTAGCTCAAAGTCAAGCCCCTTAGGTGAGACCTTTACACACAGGCTAGGCATGTGGAGGGGGCGGGGGCGGGGGACCGCCTTCCTTGCTGCAGCTGGTGACCCAGGCATCCTTGGGCTGGTGGCCACATCACTGCAGTCTCTGCTGCCTTCTCTACATGGCCTTTTCCTGTGTGTCTTCCTGTCAATTTCCTTCTAATATGTACCCCCACCCCATGACCTCATGTCAACCTAACAGCTTCCATATGAAAAGACCCTGTCTCCAGTAGCCTTAGCCACTCCCAAGATGGGGGACCTGAACGTTTTGGCTGGGAGACAATTTAACCCATCACAGTGTCCAGCTAGGGCTCCTTTGTGCCCCCGAAACTCTGGGAAGGGAAAAACACGTGGGTCAGACTTGGGGCGGGGATGGGGCTCTATCACATGTCCAGTGGAGTGACATCAGCCTGTCCTTAACCAGACTCCTTATTGTTCTCCCCGAGGGCAGGGAAGGGTCTCCTCCCTGCACTCACACACCACCCCCCTTTCTCCTGTAGGGACACAGCCGGTCAGGAGCGGTTCCGGACAATCACCACTGCCTACTACCGGGGCGCCATGGTATGCATGGGGGAAGGCGGTCACCGTCGGGGCCCTGCCTTCTGGGCAGCATGCCCTCTGGGGGCTGGGCACTTGGCTGAGCCCCTCTGAACAAAAGGATCATGCGTTCCCCCTCCACCTCTGGATAGCTCCTCAGCCACAAATACAGCGAGTAGCAGGGGTGAAGCAGAAGCTGCAGTCTTTGGGAACAGAAGCCGGTTCTTCCAGGCACTGCACAGCATTCACTTGGCCCGAGTCAGGCTGTGAATTCGGGACCAGCACGTTGGGGTCCTCCAGGAGCCAACATGCCCGGGTGGGTGGTGGTAGGCTGCTTGCCTGGGCCCGAGGCATGCGACGCGCATGGTAGGAGGACGTGTTCGCTCACCCCTGAAGTATTCATTGGGCTCCTTCTGTGGGTCAGGCCTGGACTAGACCAGGGAGCAGAATGGGGCTGCAGGCCCCAACGGGCTAGGAACATGTGGGGCCCAAGAGCAACGTCTCCTTGTTCAGGAAGCAGAATGGGGCAGGGAGGGCAGCTCCACGTTTCCATAGCAACCCCGTGGCTTGATCGCCAGGGTCCTTGTTCCCTCTAGACTGGGCGTGGTGGAGACGGCTCTGCTGGCTCAGAAGCACGATGGGTAGGGTACAGGGGCAGGGCAGGACGGTGAGCAGGGCCCTCGGTGTTAGAGGGCCACATCCTGCTGTCTCTGAGCCAGTGGGGCCACATCTCTCTCTGGCCTGGCGTGGGTACAGGGCCCAAGTCTTTGCCCACCTTCTTCAGGGTGTCATGGCTGTAGCCCACCTCTCTCCCACAAAGGCGGCCTTCCCAATTTACAGACAGCCTGAGGCTTGAATGTACCCAAGGGGTAAAAGGTGAGGCTGGTTCTAGGCCTGCTGTCTGTTCCCGGCACCTACAATCTCCACCTCCACCAGGTCCAGGCCAGCCTGGATAGAGCCTCCCCCCGGACCTTGTGCTGTGGCACCAAGGATCCCTGAGCCTTGCTAGTTGCCATCAGGATTGACCGCCCCACCCCCAGAGACCCCAGGCACAACATAGCAATGCGTGGCCTGGTCCTGCACCTGCCCCTGGGTGGGTGCAGCCTGGACCCTTGTGGTCCATGGGACTTTCCTTGGTGGGTGTTCGGAAGCCAATCACTAGGCATTTTTCCTAGTTGGTCTGAGTCTGGAAGCTCATCTGAAACCTGTTCTACATCCAGCCAGGCTGCAGGCCTGCACTGGTGAATAGTGGTGCCTGTGCGTGAGGTACACTGGCCGGGGCTTGAACTTAGGTCTCCCCAAGAAGGCGAGAAAGCTGCCCCTTTTCCACCACTGCTACTCCTGTCTGGCCTCCTGTGCTTGCACTCACTGGTTTGTCCAGAAGCCTCAGCCCCAGTTGGCTGTCTGCATGGGAGTGGATGGACATGCTCCGCTCCAGGCCCCCGCCCCTCCTGAGTTCTCAGGAGCCACGCTGGCAGCAGCGCTAATAGAGGATGTTCTGGCCTTGTTACGAATTCCTGGATGTCATTTCCAACAAGGTAGTGGTAGGCCACAGTCAGGTTACAGATAAACACGGGCCTTGTAGAGCACCAGGCCTCCCAGGACAGGTAACGTGGGGTCCCCGAGACCTGTGTCAGCAGCTTGTTTCTCAGATGACAATTGCCAGGCCTTTCTTCCAAGGAGCCTAACCTCTGGATGGGTTCGATCCTCCCACCTTTCAGTGAAAGCAGCAGAGCCCATGACCATTTGCCCCACCCAGAAACTCCCACCCCAGTTCTTGTCGCAGAGTCCTGGCCTGCTCCCAGTGATAGATAAACATCAGGTGCTTGGGGCTTTGGGATCAGGTGTGGTCTCAAGCAAGAGGCGGAGGCCCTGGGACACGTGGATCCTCCTGGTCTTCCTGCCCCTAGCCCGGTTTTGACCTTTTGATCTCAGCATGGGGGGCTCAGCCAGCGTGTATGGGGGTCTGGCTTGGGCTGGGGCAGTGACGACGAGTGCTTGCCTTCACAGAATCAGGCCTGCCCCCATCTTACCCCAACTGTGGGTAAGTCACACCCACTTACCCGTAGTTACAGTGTACCCCTGGCTGTGTTCTGCAAACACTGGTGGGGTCAGTGGGGCCCTCTGGGTCTCCTGGATGCAGCCCAGAACAGGGCAGAGTGGAGGGACAGCAAAGTGGGGCTGGCTGAGTCCTAGGACCCAAGGCTTCACTGCGGAGGGGGCAACGGCTCCTGAGTAAGGGCTGACTCCTAGGCCTGGACTCAACTTTGAGTCACTTTGCCCCAGCACAGGGTGGGGCTGCCTGCCCTTCCTCAGGACAGGAGCGGCAGTATGTGCTGACCTATCCACCCCAAACTCTGCCCACAGGAGGTACCCGATGCCTCCTTCTCTGTCATGGTCCCTGGGGTCTGTGGGTAGATGCTATCTGTTGGGAAATTGCTGGGACTTAGACCCACTGGAAGACACACTGGTTTTGGGGTCTGTTTGTACCACATATTCCCCCCGTCTGCCTGTGGCTGGGCCTAAACACCCCCATACTTTTTTTTTTTTTTAACACCCCCATACTTAATGCAGAAGGGGCTGGCAAGGTTTGTTAGCCAGGGCTTGTTAGTACAAGTGCCCAGCGCCTGGGAGGGCATTTAGCTGGGGGGTGACGGGGCTCTTCAAGTGGGGCCAGGCTGGAGACCCCAAACTGAGCAAAGTAGTGCGCAAAGGAAGCAGATCGCCAGTGCATGGGGAGGAACTGTGGGGACCTCATGTCAGCTGAAAAGGGGACCCGGTTGTGGCCTGTCGCTCAGGAACATTTCTGTCCCCTCACACAGGGCATCATGCTGGTCTACGACATCACCAACGAGAAGTCTTTTGACAACATCCGGAACTGGATCCGGAATATTGAGGAGGTAAGGCAGGCCGGCTGAGCCCTTGTGCCAGAACTCCAGATTCCACGGAGACCCTAAGTGGTTACCAGCAGGACCAGCCCCCGGGCCACGTGCTGACTCCACCAAGCCTGGGTAGCGGTTGTGCATCTGGGCCCACCCCATGGCCTCCGAGCATCCACATACCCACCAAGGCCATTGGGTTTGGCCAGTCCCACAGTTGGGTTAGGAGGCTGGAGAGGGAAGGTTCTAGAGCCAAGGTGATCCTTTGGTGGGTGTGGTGCAAAGGCATGTCAGGTTGTACTTTGAGCTGCAGTGAGGTAGGTGTGGGCTTCTCTGCGGCAGCTGGCTGCATCTGAGAGAGCAGACCTTGAACTCTGGGAGGAGGAGGAGGAGGCCAGCTCTGCTTTCCGTTCTTGCACCCCAAGATCGTGCGCTGGCTGGCTCCGCTCACAGTGTTCATAACTAAGCAGGTGTGGGGAGTAGCCAGGAAATGTCACCCCCCACCCCGGGAGCCATGAGAAAGGTCCGTCACTGCTGGCTGAGCCTCACCGACCCTCAGTCTGAAGTGGGGGTGCAGCCTAGCTTGGCCCACTGGTCTGCTTGGGGCGGAAGGCCTCTGGGCATCAAGAAGTCAGCATGTGGCCTCTGGCAGAAGGGATGAGAAGGCTGCTGGAGCAGCTGAATCTGCCTTGGAGCGCCCTATAAACCAGGCCGCGCCCAGCGCCCCAGCAGAAAGCATTCCCACACGTGCTTGCTGAGTGGGCTGGCAGAGGCCTGGGGCCTCGACCCTGGCTTGTCTAGAAGAGGCCAGGATATCTATCCCGTTTGCTCTCTCGGTCTGGCTCCCGAGCTCCAGCCTGCCACCTCACGCCTTTCCATCTGCCCCTCCCCCAGCATGCCTCTGCCGATGTCGAAAAGATGATCCTGGGGAATAAGTGTGACGTGAACGACAAGAGACAGGTCTCCAAGGAGCGAGGAGAGAAGGTGGGCCTGACTGCCGCTGGGGTGACATCATGTCAGGGCTCCCTCACTCTTGTTCCTGGGGCGTCAGCGATTTTGTCACCCACATAACATGTGGGGGAGGGTCAGATGCTGGCACCTGGCTAGGCTGCAGGCTAGAACGTGTTCCCTGGGTGTTGGCCCCTTCCCGGGCCCCCAGCAGCCCCAGGATCTCCCTACCCAGCCCCTACCTCTGCTGGACTCGGAGCCGCTAAGCTGGGCTTACCCCCATCCCCCTACTGCCCCCGGGAGTGAGGGGGCCAAGTCTGAGGGGTGGGGTGGTGGTGGTTGTGTGTGTGTGTCATTCCTCCCTCTGCCCCCCACAGCTGGCCCTGGACTATGGGATCAAGTTCATGGAGACCAGTGCCAAGGCCAACATCAATGTGGAGAATGTAAGTCCCACCACCAAGTGTCCGTCTTGTGTGTCCCCTACCCCTGAGAGGCACGCCCCAAGCAGTACCTGCATGCCAGGCCCTGAGCTGGCCCCGTGAAAATTGCCCCCTATCCCAACAACAGGTTTTGTAGGCAGGGAAACTGAGGCTTGGAGAAGAGGCCCCACTGTCTGGGTTCCCAGGCCCTGACTCAGACTCAAGATGCCACCACGGGACCATACGGAGAGTTCCACGGTCCCAAGCAGAATCAGGGCCCGGCCCACCTCCCATCATTCCTGCCCCCATCCCTTCTGGTGTCCTCTGATCTTCCCTCGTGTTCTCTACTCCTACTCCCCGTTGCCAGACAGGATGTTTACCCATCAGAGCTCAGCCCCAATATCCCCAGGAAGTGGCCGCCTGCCCCCTCAGCCCCTATCTTAAACCATCCCACACCATGAGCCATGGTGGGGCTGCTGCATCCTGGGGTCATTCGCTGGGGTTCTGCCTCCTGCCAGCCAGGACTCCCTCGCTGCGCTCTTCTCTTTCTCCCAGACTGGGTGGCAAGTTCAGAGTGGGCTGAGCAGACAGCTAGTACATGAACCGTAAGAGGCAGGACATAGGACCAGGTCAGGCCAGCTCAGGCTGCTCCCTGTGAGGAGATGAACCTATCCCCACCCTGCCTGCGTCCTCTGTGCCTCCCCCTTTGTGGCTGGTGCTGCCTCAGGAGTCCCTAGAACTGTTTGTCTCTGCCTGCCTGACCTCCAGGGGGCCCAGAGTGGACAGGCACAGGCAGGCCCTTGAAGCATAGGACTTGCTCCTCCTTCCATGATGGCCATTTAGCCACGGGTTTCTTCAACCAGGCATCTGTCTTTGCTTCTTCTCCCTTCAGTCTGAAGAACCCCCACTCAGGGTTAGTGGCTTAATGGAGATTCCCCCAAAGACTGGCTGTTTTGCACCCTCATGCAGGGCCCCCGTTTCACAGTAGAGCTGTGTTCCGTCAGGTGTTCAGTGACTGGTTTCGGAGGACAGATTATCAGACCTTTCTTCCACGGCACCTCTGGGTGGGTGTGGGACTCTAACCGTTCAGCTGGCAGCCCAGCGGGTTTGCCTTTGGCACCACCCCAGGCTCACCGCCTGACTCCTCCACAGGCCTTCTTCACACTCGCCAGAGACATCAAAGCAAAAATGGACAAAAAATTGGTAAGTCTGCTCTCCCAAACCCATACCCGGGGCCTGTGTCCTCGGCCTAGGACCGGATGCATGGCCAGGCCCAGCCAGCCCCTGGGGTGCGCCCCAGGAGAAGGGAGGGGCTTGCAGGTGCAGGCTGGAGCATCTGCCACTCGCCAGCTCCCTCCCTGGACAGTCATCAGCGCTGGGTCACCTACACAGATAGGGAAGCACTCAGACCTTTCCGTTTCCCCGCGAGAAGGACACCCGGCACGACCATGCCAAGAGGAAGAAGGGCCGCCCAGTCACCCAGGCTGGGCAGGGCCCCAGCCCCTCAGGGACTCGCACCCTGGGCGGTCTGCGTGTCAGACTCCCATGCCGACATCCTCCAGGCGGCAGAATCATCTTTTGATCTAGTTTGTGCCGTTGGTGTTGTAGCTGAGAAACCATTGTTGCAAACAGAGGCCCTGGTGTTTCTTCAAAGGGTGTAGATCAAGGGGTCCATTTTGAATGAATTTTCATAGTAGGAGAACCGAATCCCCACACAACAGTTTTGTAACCCCCAACTATGAGCTCAGGATCCATTCCAGCTTCATTCTTTGACATGTGAAACACAGTTATCTCAGCCATTTGTTAAATCAACTCCCTCTCCGTGAAGGGTTAGAGCGCCTGGTATCACTAAATGGATGGCAGAGGTGTGGGTCTGTATCCGGCCCTGGGTGCTAGTCCATTGGTCTGAATCTAATGACCTGCCACTTGGAGGCTGCTGCTCTGGGCACCACACCTGTTGAACCAGGACGTACATGTGTGTGTGTCCAACTTCATTCTTCAAGATTGCATTGGCTTCGTGAAGGCCCCCTTGTTTTGCCAAATAAATGGAAAGGCTGATTTTTCCATTCTGCCACGAAGGCTGTTTGGATTTTGACGGGGATTGTATGGAATTTATAGAAAGTGGTGAGACAAAAGACTTTTTTCTTTTTAATGTCAAATTTGGACGGGAAGAGAAAATGATTCATAGGCGTTTTTTCTTTAAGACTGAGCATGGCGAAGGGCCCCGATACCCCTATTGTTCAGGACACGCCTCGTTGGTCCAGCCTCCCATCTAATAGATGCACGGCTCTTCCCTGTGGCTGTTCAGGGACAACCGTGACAAGTTGCCATACACGTAGCCGCTGGCGTAGCACTGACTGATGACGTCACAGACCCCGGAAGTGCAGGCCAGAGTTTGCTTTTCCCTGATCGCGGGGCCACCACCTCCTTGGCTTGTGCTCCTGCCTCTGTGACCCCAACCGGCAGCCCAGCTTCTCGCCGACCACCTCTGGGAAAGACTTTTTCTGCCTCGCGCCCCCCCACCTTTCCAATTTAGCATCTTCTCTCCAGACCATGCGGCGACATTGATGATCTTCTTTGAACCGTGCGTCTGTTCTTGCTGTCCTTTTTCAACCCACTCACCGCCTGTGACAGGAACTACTGCCCCCCAAGCAAAAACCCCCTCCTCCCTTCAGCCCCACCGAGTAAGCTCCGCTCTGGCAGGGTTGGGTTTCCATGTGTCTGCTCACTGGCTGTGCATGAAATGACGCTGGCTTTTTTGCTTCTGCAACGGACTTACTTCACACTGCGTGATAGGGCATGCGCTAGACTTGGTTTCTCCATGTGGCTGCACAATTGTTTGTGTGGACCGCTCCGGGTTTCTCCGTCATCGTGAGCTATCCCCGGGCTGCCTCCACCTTGAGGCTCTGCTGAAAGGGCTGCCCTGAACGCTGGTGCTCAGGCTACTGTGGGCATCCCTGCCTTCTCTTCTGGGTAGATACGTGGGCTTGGGATGGTTGGGTCACAGGTTAGGAGCCCTGGTGGCAATATGGGTTTTGCATTGGCTTGCTCACCTCAGGATTGGTGGTTCAAACCCACCAACTGCTCTGTGGGAGAAGGATGAGGCTGTTCCTAAAAAGATGTAAAGCCTCAGAAACCCTCTATCAGGTCACGGTGAGTCTGAGTCAGCTCGATGGCAGTGCATTTGGCTGGGTTAGGGTAGTTTTATGAGGAACCAGCAAACTGCTTCCACAGGGGTTGGACGGTTTTAGGTTGCTGCTCACAATTGGGGGGGAGGCGGGGTTCCAGTTTGTCCACAACCTCACCAACACCTGTGGTGGTCCTTTTTTTTTTTTGTCAATTGTCAGTTGTTGATCTGGTGGGCGTAAGGTGGTGTTTCACGATGGTCTGGCGTCTCCTGTAATGACTTTGCACCCTCGAAGAGGGGGGCGGTTCCGCTCTGCCCTCAGTAAGCGTCGACTGGAAGGCAGCGGGTTGTGTGTGTGTTTGCTTGCTTGCGTTTCAACGATTAACGCCGAGGAGCCCTGGTGACTGAATGGGTTCTGTGTGGGTCAGCATGCCCAACCCAGCAGCCACTCCCCGAGAGAAAGATGGCTTTCCGCCCCCGAGAAAGAATACAGCCTGGGAACCCGATACAGGATTCCTCTGAGTGGGGACCCACTCGAGGGCCCTGGGTAGTGGCTAATGAAAGGTGCTTTGGTGGCACTGTGGGCTAAGCGCTGGGCTGCTAGCCACGAAATCAGCTGTTCTTCCAACCGTACCCTCCAGCCATTCCCAGGAGAAAGATGGGAACTGACTGTTCCGAGACGTAGCTTCGGAAACCCTCTCCGTGGTCCCTGTGAGTCAGAATGGACGGGAGGTTAGTGGGTTTGGGTGGATGACTAAGGAGTTGGAGCATCCTCTCCGTGCTTGTTGTCCATTTCAATATCCTCGGTAGTAAAATGTTCCAGTCCATTGCCTATATTGACTGGACTGCTTGTCCCTGGTGTTAAGCTGTATTAATAGGTTTCCATCGAGCCCACCTGAGTCAGCCAGGCTGCTTTCCCCACTCAGATCCATGACTTCACCCCATCCCCAGAGACCCTTTTGTCATGTCAGGCTCCAGGGGCAAGGACGTCAGCCTCTCGGGGACTGGTGTTCTACCCTCCACACCCCGGGCCTTCCTGCATCTCTGTCGCCTCACCTCGTGGCATCTCGAGATGTTGTCATCAAAACACACCTGTACCCTCCTCCTCCCTCCCTGCCCCCATGTGGGAGCACCCCTTACTCAGATGCCTGTGGAGTTCCCATCCCACCCCTACCCACAACCAAGCGGAGCTCTCAAGACAGCCTCATCTGCTTCCATGTGCCCAGGGCCCAGAAAAGCATCCAGCATTGGCATTGATGGCGCTCAGAATTGACATATGGCCAGTTCCCCAAATGTGGAGAGAACTCACATCTCCACTGCCCCTCCTCCCTTGCCCTGGCAATAGCAGGCCCTCTGCTGGTTCTCGCTGCCCCTGTGGGTCTGTTATTGCTTTAGCAAGGCTTGCAAAATGCACGGGCCATCCCCTTCACGCACAGTTTTCGTTTATTGTGTAAGAGAGTCTGGAAGCCTCCTCTAACTTCTGTGTTCCAGGCTTTGATTGACCAGTGGATATTCATTTGCTGTGGGGGGTCGGGGGTGGCGAGAGGTACCTCATGTTAGTCAGTGACTGATGGAACCTTGAGTATGCATAGCAGGCTCTCTCATTTCCATGCTCCCTTCCACCGCCACCCCACTTCCTGAGGTTTGCAGCCCGGGCAGAGCTGTGCATTCCCTGCTCACAGTATGTGTCTCAGTGTAGCCTGGCTGTTGTGGAAAACAAGGCACTGTAACTGAATTGCTGGCAAACTCCCAGGCTTGCTTTAAAGAACCAGAGGCAAGAAGCCCAGTTGAGTTCTTTATCTCACAGTATCTGACCATTACTTGTTGAATAGCTTAAGGCTCTCCCAAAGTGCTGAGAAGGAGTTGGAGAAAGGGCGGAAAGCCTCCCTTTTAGGGTGAGGCAGGAAGAGACTGGAGGTGAGCTCCCCAGGTCCCTAAGAGACTGCTCACGCTGACGCCCTGAATGCCAGCCTCAGAACTTGGTGTATCCCCTGGAAGCAGTGGGGGTCACAGATGGGTCTCCAGTGGGGGGAGAGTTGTCCAGGTCAGATTGTAGGTCCAGCCTCATTCTCGCAGCCGTGAGGAAGATGAGTTAGTTGGAGAAGTGGTAAGTTCCAGGGACCTGGGCCATTCTGTGTGGGTCTCATCAGGACTTCTCACCTCCGTCTCTCTCCCTGTACAAAGCCAATGTGCTGCTCTTTGACCGCCTTGCTGTGGGCAAGAAAGGAGGAAGGGTTCAGGTGAATGGAGGCAGGCTGTACGGGAACAAGAGTGGGGCAGGGACTACCTGGTTACGAGAAGGACCAGTAGGAGGAAGTGGGTGTGTAGGAAGGAGATGGACATAACTTGTGGGTCTGAAAAGCTGCCGCGTTGGCATGTGACAAGTGTGCATGGGGGCTCATTTCCTTGATTCAAAGGGATGGATCAGTGGATGGTTCGAAGGAGGCTTGGATGGGAGGGAGGGAGGGAGAGAGGGAGGAGGGGACTGACGAGTGGACGAGAGCTGGAAGGGGATGAGTGGGGGGCTTCCTAGAGGGGGCAGCTGGAGAAGTGGTTCCGTTACATGGCTGGAAGGGGACTGGTGGGGATGACAGGAGGGAGGGCAATGGTGAGTGGAGGGAAGGGGATGTGTCCATGGGTGAATGGGAGGGAGGAGATGGAAACTAGAAGGCAAGTAGGAAGGAACTGATGGATGGATGGATGGATGGATGGATGGTTAGAAGAGGGCATATTGGAAGGGGACAAATGGAGAGGTGGTAGAATGGGAAGGGAGGGGTGTGTGGTCCATGGAGAGAATAGTTGTAAGGTTGGTTGGTTGGTTGGTTGGTTAGAAGAGGGTGAACAGGTGGGTGGCTGGCTTGTTGGTTACTTGGTCAACCATCACTTCAGAGGACCTCTTGTGATTTTAGGAAGGCAACAGCCCCCAGGGGAGCAGCCAGGGAGTCAAGATCACACCCGACCAGCAGAAGAGAAGCAGCTTCTTCCGATGTGTTCTTCTGTGAGGAACGCCGCCTTACCTGAGCTCCGCTCAGCCCAGCTGACTGTGCCTGTTCCGAGCCAGCCCCTCGCTCGGCTGGGGCCTCCCCCTCTCCCACGCCCGCCCAGGCCAAGGCCATGGGCCCAGGGCCCCCAGAACGAAATCGAGAAATTGTTTATTTTAGTAACTGCCTGGTCTCTCTCAGCTCTGGAGATGGAGTAAGTTAGGAGTACGCTATTTTCCAGTGATGTCTGCGGAGTGATGTCTGCGGAGTGGGCCTGCGCACCAGGTTACCAGGAAGAACGGGACCACAGTGAGGCCTGCATCTGCGACAGCCATCAGCCCTCGGTCCTGCTGCAGCTCAGCTGGTGGGCCCCTGGCCAGCGAGGGCCCCCGCCTGGGCCCCCGCCAGGTGCCTTCCACCACCGCCCAAGCAGGGTGATGGCGCTCCGGGCCGGGACACAGCCGCCCAGCAACCCCAGCTCCCGCTGCCTCTGCCCGCGGTTCGGAGAAGTGACAGAGCTGTCCCCGCCCCACACCCTCTTTTTTTACTGTCAAGCCAAAGGGAAGCACAAATTACAGGAAGCCCAGGCAGAGCGCCAGGAGGAAAGAAGCCAGGGCGGGTCTCCTGCCTGTGGCCCCGCGAGACCCGCTGCTGTGCCTGCTGAAGGGATGCTCTCGGTGGTCGCTGCAAGCCTCAGTGACACTCGCCCACCCAGCCCCCAGGACCAGGACACCGCTGTCAACACAACGGCCCCCACACCGCTTCATCCTTTGCCCGATGTCACTCCCCCAGATTCTCCGGGTCATGAGGGGACCAGTCTCCAATCCCAGCAGCGGAGCCAGAAGACTGGGCCACCTGCTTCTTGGGCCGGGTGTCCGGTAGACACACACATTCCACATGGCCAGGCTGCTGCACGGCCGCCCTGCGGCATTGAGTAGACCTCGCCAGCTTCTCTGAGCAGCTCCCTAGAGACTGCAGGACTGGGACCAGGTGGCCAGTCAGGCATCACCAGGGCACATACCTTTCCCCGGTTCCCATCTCTTTCTCACCCCCACTTCCCCCAGCTGCTGTCAGTCCAAGCCATTGGTGTAATAATGCCTTCATTTAGGGATTAAAACCGAATGAACCAGCAATAGTTTGTTCCCTGGAATCGTTAACATGCTCTGTTTACATCCATCAATGCACTTAAGGAAAACCACCCAATGAATTAAAGCTCATTTTAAAGCTGGTGGCCCTTCCTTTCTATCCATGGCCTGGAGGCCCGGTAGGGCACGGTGGGGGGTGGGGCACCAGGGACGTCCTTGCTGAGAACACAACCTAGATCGGACCCTCCACTGCTGGGGGTGTGCAGGGCACTGCTCTTGTGGAAGAAGGCTTGGCACGTTCTCAGAAAGCTGACTGTAGATTAGGTCAGTCCCATGGGACTTAGCAATTCCACTTGCAGCCGTGTGCCCAGACAAAGCACACGCAGCTCAGGCACCTGCATGCCATGGTCATTAGACTCCTTCATCAGAGCCAAACGGTAGAAATAGCCCCAATGCCCACTAGCCAATGAAAGGACACACTGTGGTCCTTCCAGACCGTGGGACAGCACTCAGCCAGGCTGGACCTGGAAGCCCTCATGCTGAGTCCAGTTTAATCACAGAAGGGTAAGTCATTTCTATCCCATTAATAGGAAGTCAGTAGAGATCAAGGTGTATTCGGGGTTGCCAGGGACAGGCGGGTGGCTGAAATGCTAGTGGGTGATGGGAGAACTCAGGCCACCCCTAGAGGTCAAACACCTTGAATTATTTACCGGTTTTTGTGTTTTTTTTATCTCCTTATTTTTGTGTGTCCTTGGTTTTTTTGGTTGTTGACGTTTGTTTTCTTTGGTCGCTTTGCTTTGCTCTGTCTTGTTTTATTGTGCATATTATCTCTGCAGCTCTATCTAGATAAGATAGGCTGGATGAACAGTCTGGAGGAGAAAACAAGGGGACCAGTGGTTTCAGGGGGGATGGGAGAGGAGTGAAGGGTGGGTGGGAAAGGAGGTGGTGTTGACCAACCCAGGGACAAGGGAACAACAAGTGATCCAAAATTAGTAGTAAGGAGGGTGTGAGAGGCCTGGTAGGGCTTGATCAAGGGCATTGTGACCAAGAGGAATTACTGAAACCCAAATGAAGGCTGAGCATGATAGTGGGACAAGAGGAAAGTAAAAGGACACATCCACGCAGGCGTCCACTACCTGCACATCCACACAAGCGTCCACTCCCTGCACTTCCACCCAAGCGTCCACTACCTGCACATCCAC